CCCCGGGAGGGGCTCTCCCCTCTTCTGCATGGGATGCCTTTCCCCAGGCAGGTGATTCCGAAAGGGTAACCTGGCTGCCTGCAAAGCAGTTGGGGAGGCCCGGTGGAACCAGCCCGCCTGCTGACTCTCCTTCTAGCCAGTGCCTGGGTGGGAAGCCCGGAGTGTTAGCGTGGCAGACAGGCAGGACAGAAGTGTAATGCGCATATTAGGAGGTTATTCTCCAGGTCCAGATCTGCTGCTGCTGGTATCTGGAATGCACCAGAGCTTTCTGTGAGAGCCACTGCTTTGCCTGCAAAAGATCCCAAGCCCATTACGGCGCTCTCCTTGCAAAAGACGTCTGACTGTGCTGGGGAGGGCCATCTCCTGGAGACTTGGGGGGCCACTGAGAGTCAGCACAAATGCCCCGGCAGCCAAAGGTCTGGTGTGCCACAGGGCCGCAGGGCTGTCCCGCTGGATCGGGCTGGGGAGCAGTGGGGCCAGCATCCGGCTCCCGGCAACGCCAGTCCCAGAAGGATCCCCCGGCGACCAGTCCCCTCTCGCCCCAGTTGCTGGCAGACCTTGTCAAGCAAGGGCGGCTTGGGTTGCAGAAAGCTAAAGGTGCTGCACGCTTTGGGGGATGGTAAGATGCTCCTTTGCCCCTCCCCACATTTGCCTGCCCCCTTTCCAAGCCATGAACCCGGCAGCCCCCACCATCCTCAGGAGGGCAAAGCCTGGTGATGGGTGAGGTCTTGCGGTCGGTCAGTCTGTGTTAGTGGCATTTCTTGCCACTCTGGCAATCAGAAGCCACTTCCCCCACCAGGCCGCAGAAAAAGCGCAGCTGCAAACTCTCCCCTTTCTCCATGAGGACATGGCAAAGTTCCTGCTGCGGCAGCTGGGTCCTCTCTGTGCCTTGCGCCGCCCTGTGCCCAGCTCTGAGAGAGACGCCCTCTTGGGAGCAACCAAGGTTTCCCTCTGGAAAGGTGGGTGGAGGGCTCGCTCGACAGGCCAGCCTTCTCCTCCCGCCAAAGGCAGCCGGGAAACAGCGCCCTCAGAGGTCAAACATCTCGGCCTCCTTCTCTTTCCAGAAGGAGAAACTGCGGTCTATATAGCGGCAAATGTCTTCGTTGCTGAAGTCCCCGAGCTCAGAAACGAGTTGGATGGAGTCCTTCCTGCTCTTGGGGGCCGTGGCGAGTTCCTCTGCGTGCAGGCTGGGTTCTGGGGTGCCGCCAGCTCGCGCCTGAGAAGACCCCTGGCAGGAGAGGACCGGGAACGGGCCGTGCCGTTCCGCCAGCGCCTCTGTGTCCGCCGCAGCCACGGGGTCGGGCTGCAGGCTGTTGCCGAAGAACTCCCGCTTGAGGTCCTCAAAGCCATCCAGCCAGTCCCGCTTGCCGGCCTCAACCTCCTCCATCACCACCTTGTGGAACTGCCGGATGAGCTCCCAGCTGTGGCTCCCCAGGCGGTCGAACATCTCGTAGCAGAGGAGGTGGCGGAACTTGCGTTCCTGGCGGCTCAGGCTCATCTCCAGCAGCTGGAAGTAGCCGACCATGAAGAGGTCCAAGGTGAGGCTGTCATAGTCCAGCTGGGCTCCGCCAACATGGGGCAGGAAGTGCTCTGGCCAGTACACCATGTGGGTGCGGCTGAGGCGGCGGAGCTGCCTGCCGGGGACTTGGCTGATGATGCTCCGCCAGTGGCGGATGAGCCTCCCCACCACCTGCCGCTGCGTCATGAAGTACAGGAGCCGGTCGTCCTCGCTGGGCTTCCTTCCCGCTGCAAGCGGCACCCCCGGGCCACCCAACCGTTGGTGGGCTCCGTCTGCATCACTGGGGGCGGCCTCGGAGCCCCCCTCGGGGATGGCCTGTCGCTCAGATTCGGTGAAGGTCCACTTCTTCCAGTGCTCCAGGAAAAGGAAGACGATCCGCTCTTTCCGCATGTCAATGTAGTCCTGGACACAGCTCAGCTCTGTCTGCACTGGGAGGCTCCTGGTCATGTGGTCCGGGCTGAATGAGGCCTCCCCAAAGGGGTCCTCTGCCCCATCCTGGGCATTCACCTGCCTGGGGAAATGGGCCCCCCTGTCCCCGTACAGCAGGGGAGCATGTGAGAGGTGAGTGGCGGATTCCAGCGGCATGATGGGGGTGCCCTCCTCTGCCTGCTTGACACTGAATGGCTCAAGGCCGGCGACATAATCCTCTTCCAAGATGGGCTCCCGGCCAAGGGTGAATTGTGCTGTGCCCACCGGCAGGGACCGCTTCCTCCGGTACACCCGGTTGGACGTGGCACTGGGCAGCTGGGACTGCATGTGGAGCTCGTAGTTGGCCTTGAGGTTCTTCACAGACACCCCAAACTGCATCATCTCCTTCTCCACCTCCTCCCGGGTGCAGCTGAAGGACTGGGACCGTGCGATGCTGGCCGGGCCGCCTTCGAAGGGCAGCGGTGCCTGAGCTGGGCTCTCTGCCGCGGTGCTGCCCCTCTGCTCCAGGGCTTCAGGCGTCACCATGTCAGCCAAGCTGATGGCCTTCCCGCCAAGAGTGGCCAAGAGGATGGCCATGCTCTTCAGCAGGGTGGCGATCTTGCTGCACCACGCGGGGAGGTCTTCCGCCCGGCCCTGCATGCGCTTGGGGTTGACAGTAAAGTGCTCCTTGGCCAAGGACGCAGAAACAGGCAGCAGCTCCTGCAGCTCCCGCTCCAGCTGCTCAAGCTCGGTCTCCACTTTCTGGACCTTGTGCATCACTTGCAGGTTCTGGATCTGCTTTTCGATGTAGAGGATATCGTCTTCTGTCATGAGCTCCCCGAAGGGCCCCAGGATGGCATTGTGGGCATGGGAGTAGCGCCAGCCTTGCTGGGGGTAGCACCCACCGGAGTGAAGCTATGGCAGGGCGAGAGAAAGAACAGAGGGCAGGCGACTCCCTCAGAAGCAGTCTCGGGCTGTGCTCGTCCTCGCTTTTTGCACGCACGCACGCACGCACGCACGCACACCTGTGCTGTGCCTTACATGTCCCTTGGTGGTGTAATGCTGCGTGAGCGGGCTGGCTGAGCCGTCTGCACGGGAGGCAGGCAGGCAGGCAGGCCGGGTGCTGTGGCAGGCGCTGGCTCGAGGCAGGGCAGAGGGCGCGACTCGTGGTGTGAGGCCCCCGCGGTGCGGGTGCGGGAGGCACCGAGGACACGGTGATGCTGCTGGCTGGACGGCAGAGGCCCCGGGGCGGTGCTCACACATTACACCACCGAGCGATCATGCAAGCCATTTCACCCGGCAGTATCGTGTTTGGGGGAAAGAACGGGTTGCTAGGGGGCCCCCATCTGGCTTTACCTCTGTGCGATCCAATTCGGGACAAAGCGGGGCAGTGAAATTTGGTCTGTGGACACCACATCCTCAGCGTAGCTACCGATACAGTGGCAAATACTGCAGGGGAAATGCACACCGGAGTAGTCAAGACACACGACGAGAGCAGGGCCATGCTGCGGTCACACCAATGCATGCCACCCACTCTCCCTGCACACCCGGGGCACTGAAAGATCCAAGAAGGCCAGTCCTGAATGTTTCGGTACAGGCAGGAAACAAAAGCAGCCCAGCAGATGAAAGGAGAGGAAGACCCGGGCTTCCAAAGAACCATCTGATGGACGAGCAGGGCATCTATCTGCACAAAAGGGCGCCTGGTCCCATAAGCTGTTCAACAGGCCCCTCAGTGGAATCTCGCTCCGCTCTACCTCGTTCTGACGGAGTGAGGGAGAGCTCCTTCTAGAGCTCTAGCGAAGCCATTTGCTCAAAGAATCCCGCAGGCAAAGCCATCCCAGGGCCTCAACAACGTTTTCAAGGGCAGTTCCCATAAGCACAGCCAAGGACCAGGGATGCTGGGAGCTGCAGTCCAACAGGTCTGGAGGCTCCAGCCCTGCTCCGTCTCGCTCCCGCTGGCCTGCAGGACGCAGTGGCAGCCTCGCTGGTGGGCAGCCATCCAGCCGCTCTATGAGCAAGGGGAGCCCACCTCCCCAGGGACAGGCAGCCTGCTCCAGACCGCCCCGCGAGGAGGCTTCCCTGATGCGGGAAGGGTGCGTGGCCAGGGGCAGCCAAGGCACCTGACCTGGTTGATTCAGGGAAGAGTTTGCAACAGGCGCTGCAGCCCCGCGGGGCCTGGCAGGCCGGGGCGTGCTGAGACCCACAGGGCCTTTCCCTGCCTAAGCAGGCGCAGGGACACGGCTCGGTGACAGGGGCCACCAGGGATGTGCAAAAGTCCCCAGCTCTCTCGACGCCTCCTGTTGGTGAAGCAGCTCAGCTCCTGCCACAGGTCTGGCGGCGTCATGCATCCGACTGGACAAAGGGAGTGACGGGACCCAGACAGCTGCGTGGCGGACGAACAAGCGGCTCTCCAGCCCCTGGCTGCGCCTCCCACGAACCTGCGATGATCACTGGCTCTGCGGCTGTGGCCCCGCAGGCGGCACAGGAGGAAGCGGGCCCTGCCCTGGGTCTGGGCCTGAATGCTGCAGCGCCTTCAGAGGCCCCTCCCTGCTGCCCCCGCTGGCGCAGCACCCTGCCCGGGGGGGCCTGCCTGCTCGGCATCTGCAGCGCAGACAGTTAGGGCCTGGTGAAGGGCTTCGCCTTTCCACAGGCCCAGAACGGTTGGTTGGTTGGTTGGTTGGTTGCTTCATTTTTACACCGCCCAATAGCCGAGGCTCTCTGGGTGATTAACAACATTTAAACTTAAACAAAAGTTAAAACATTCCATCTTTTGCTCTATTAACTTTACTGCTACTTCTTTAACCTTAACGTTTCTAAGATTGTGACAACTGTTCCATGACTGTACTGTTGATGCTTTATTTTTCTTTGGGGTTTCATGATTTGGGGAGGTTTTATGTTGTGCTATGGGCTTTATGAGCAGCCACACCAGGGGCATCCACTGGGTGGTATATATTGAATAAATAAACACAGACAGACAATTTCCCACAGCAAACGCAGAGTCCAAGACCACCACAATCACCACCACACCATGCTGACCCCACGACATCCCGCCAGCCCCACAAGCCCCTTTTACCTTGCGGCGCTGTTCTTCCTCCTCCTGGATCTTCATCTGAAGTTTGCGCACCATGACCTGCCGCTTCCACTCAGGAATGGGGCGGCCCTGCTCATCGTGAGTGGGGATCAGGGCCTCTATGTCCACCTGGCCAGCTGGGGCCAGGGAGGCAAGCAGTGGCGAGGACCCATTGACCACTGCCTCAGGCGAGGTGGCCGCTCCGGGCATGGAGGCTGCTTCCGGGGTGGAGGGAGGAGTTGGCGTCCTGCTAGGCGACAAGGAAGATGGGGGGTTCTCAACCTGGATGGAGAAAGAAGGGGTGCGTGAGGCACTCGAGAAGACAACCGCTCCGCATGTGCTTCTACCCTTGTATCTCCCGGTGATTTGGGTGGCTATTTCTGCATCCTGTCCACGTTTTCTTCCTCCCTTCCTCCCATCCTTCCTTCTTTCCTAGATGCATCTGCTCCTGATATGTGCATGAATGGCTTGCTGGAAGCAATTTCCTTTGCTTGGGTCCAGCTGAGCCACCCACTGCAGCTGCTCAGCCAGTGGCATGCACTTCGTTCTGAGCTATGGATGCTGAGGATGTGAGCTGGGGTCAGGGGCTTTGTCCTGAAGCACTGCCCATCTTGGCCAAGTAACTTGGCCCAGGCGGGACTGCTGCTGCGGCCAAGGGAAGGAAGTCATGCCTCCCTGGGGAGGCCGCCATCCTCTGGCTTGGGATCCGACCTGTTCTGAATGGGGCTATGTTCTCCCTGAGGGACTTAGGGTTAGGTCTTTAGCAGTGACTTCTCCTGAATCAGCCAGACTTGGCAGCAGTTTTCCATGCCCTGGCTGCCTCACATTTAGGCGACTGTGATGCCCTCCGGGTGGGGCTCCCCTCGCAGAGCGCCTGAAGGCTTCCCCTGGGCACAGGCGGCAACAGGGAGGAGCGGGGCCACCGCACTGGCTGCCAGCCGCTGCCGGCACCCCTTCACGGCACCGGCCTTCCCCTTCGGTGCCCCAGACGGCTCAGGGCCCGGCCATGGAGGGGGCCCCTGCCTCGCTAGGAGCCTGCCGGACAGGCCCGTGTGTAGACCCTGCCTCCTCCGGCATCACCCCAAGCTATCAGCTGTGCTCTCCCACGCACCGTGGTTGTCCCCCATTTCCTTGGTCCTCGGCAACCACGTGAAGATGCACCTTTCAGTGCAGGGCAAGACAGACCTCCAACGGCTCCGTTGGTTGAGCTGCAGCCTTTTGTGTGTCTGAACTTGCTGGACAAACGGTGGGCTTTAAATATTTTTACTGTTACTAATGACTAGTTTTTATTCTTTAAGGTTTTGTTTAAACTGTTGTAGAGAGCCTTGATGGCTTTTAGCCAATATGGCATTACATAAATTCTAATGATGATGATATCTAACAAGATCCTTCAGCAGGGAATCACAAAATAAATAAAGCAGGAGTGCGTAAAATCAAATCAAGCCCCACGGCCCGACCGATGGCTGCTCACTCAGTGAAGCCTGCTTCAAGCAAACGTGTCTTCGGTGGGCGCCAGAAGCCGGTCGAGGCCGAGAGTGCCAGGCGGGCAGTTCTGCGGAGAGCGAAGCGCCCGCTCGGCGGGCTGCAGCGGCCCCTGCTCGCCGCGCCTCGGCCCGGGCCACACGGGCGGCCGGCGGGGGCGCTCCTCCGGGGCGCCGCGCGCGTCTGGCTGTGCCGACCCCTCTGCTCGACGCCCCGCCACGAAGCGGACCGCGGAGCGGGCACGCGCAGGGGGCGGAGCGCGAGCGCGCGAGGCGGCCGCCCCGTAGCCTCCGCTCAGCGGCCCCGACGGGTGGGTTGCGCGCGCCGCGGAGGCCGGGGAGCAGCCAGGCGGAGCGGGGCACGCCGCCGAAACGCGGCGCCTCCCTTTCCGCGCCGGCAGCGCTTCCGACCCCCGAGGAAAGCCCCGCCAGCCGCCGCGGGCCTCGCGCGCCGGGCCCTCGGCCCCGACCCGCCGGTCCGCCCCGCCGCGACGAAGCAGCGGGTCCGCTCCCGTGCGTCGCGCGAGGGCGCTGCAAGCAGGCCAGCGAGGACCTACGTTGGCGCCAACCTGGCCGCAGCCCGAGAAGATGGTGGTGAAGCCCTTGCTTTGCGGGGTCGGCTTGAGGCTCTTCCCAGCCTTGATCTCCGCCAGCAGCTCCGAGTTGTCACTGGTCGGGGACATCATGTTGAAGGACTTGGTGCCTATAGCCGCGGGGAAGGAAGGAAAGTACCGGTCAGTTCTCCTGCCCTGGACGGCGATCCTCTTATCCAGCCCCTCGCCGTTTAATAGCCACCTGAAGGTTCAGGGCGAAGGCCCGCCTGGTCGGTGCCTCCCTAGTTGCTACGTCAGACAGGTCCCTCCGGACAGGGAAGCTTTGCTCAGTTATCGGGACCAACGGGGCTGCTTGAACCCCGGGAGGGGGCGCGGTGCCAGAAGAACCCACGCTGGGGCCACGGGAGAGGCAAATGGAACGAAGCAGAAGCGGAAGCAGAGCCAAGCACTCGCGCGTGTGCTGCAGTCCCCCGGTTTGAGTGTGCGCCGACTCCTAGGGACACCCTAGTTCTAAAGAGGGGCGCAAGGAAGGGCGTTGGGTTTCCAAGGAGAACCTCGGGCGGACAGGTTCAGGTGAGTGACGCACACATTGGCCAGAAGCAGGGGACCCCAGGAGCAGCCCCGACGCAGGGTGGGGGCACCTGGGGCCTCTGTGAGATGCAGGGCTCCATGCAAACGCCCCAGCAGGCTCCCCCTAACACTGCCCCTGAGAGCTGCGCCCTGGGCCCCACATCATTTGGAGGGGCCACGCCCAGCCCTCTTGCTCTCCCCTGCAGGTGTTGGTGCGTTTGCTTTTCACCCCGCTTTAATTCATCGACCCCACTCATCAGTGGGTGGTGTCCGCAGAGGCCATCGTGGCCCTCACCTCTTCATTGAAAGGGAAAAACAAGATTGAAAGCCAAGCCCAAGCTTTTAAAGGAATTATAGGCAAGTGCCCAATGATACGAAGTCGCCCCCACAGAGAAGCTAGTTTACTATGTGAGGGGCATTTCCAACGAACGGTGGCAAAGCAGGGTTCCAGCGCCCTCCAGGCTCGTGCCAGAGTCTGGGTTCCGGTGCATTATTTGACAGCCCGGCTCGGCAAAGGGGCTCCCCAGCCCCATTTCACCGACTGTGGGTGGCAGCAGCCGTCCTGCCTCGACCCGCCTCTCCTTCCTGCAGGGAAACATGCAGGGGAGTGGAAGGAAGCATCCCACATCCAGGCCGCTGGGATGCCACAGGTGGCCATGCCTCCTTTCCCCAGCCCCGGCCCTTTCCCCCAGGACCAGTGTTTGTGGTTGCCCAGCATTCGTGTTATTTCTCCCCATTGCCAAAGGCTGAAATGTCCCACCAAAGGCTGAGCAACTTGCAGGACAAGAGCTTACTACCGAAACTTGCCAGGATTTTGTCTTGTTTTGTATTTATGGCCCTGGCCCCTTCGCCTTGAGAGCCAAACAGGCCTTTCCTGCATTTGGGTCTCCATGCGATAACAGGCAGTGCTGTCTCCCAGTTCCAGCAGTGTGGGGGGGGGGGGGTTTGGCGGGAGGAGGTCGGATAAGATGCCCTGAGCATTGCGCCTCCCTGAGTACTTGGGGCACAGTATGCATGCCCCAATCTCATGACAGCCTCAGTGCAACTCACCACCAAAATTAAAACTGGAGGGCCACATCAGTCTGTATGCCCATTTTTGATGCGCGAGTCCAGCTGACAGTGTGCCGTGCGAGTCGCTGATCTGTCCTTGCCATTTGTGCCTGACTGGAAGAGGGCAGGCTCAGAGCAGCGACTCATGCAGGGACTCGGGGTCCCTTTGTGGCACCCAGCAGGTGCGTTCAAGCACGCCCGGTGCGGAGAGGCAACGGTGCCCCAGTCCCAGGTGAGACTGCCAGGAGGGAGGGATGGCTCTCTGTGCGGTGACTTGCACAGAGAGCCTGCAGTGATCTGCAGGGGAGGTGGCCGTGTTGTACTTATGGAGACCTCTAAATTCACCCCACACAGCACGTGCATGTTCTCTACTCCAGCAGCCAATTATCCAACAGGAGGAGGGAGAAATCAGAGATGCCTCTCTTTGAAGCCACAAAGAATGGAGAATAAGGCGTTGGTCATTCCAGAGGCGATTTGCCTTTGTCTTTGCTGACCCCCACCCCGCACCCCACGTGCCACGTAAGTTCCCTTTTCAGGATGTTTCCAGCTCAGCTGTAAGTCACCAGTCCCAAGTTTTCAGAGTCTGGGCATTTTAGAAAGCAAGTGGAAGACCTGAATGTTGCATATGAAAAGCACGCTGCACACCTGAAACGGCTTAGAAGTCCTCGTCTGCTCTCAAAGTGCTATTTCAGGGTGCAGGCTTGGGGGTGCTTTTCACACAGTGGGGCAGACAAAGGTGTGGTCCATCAGGTGCAGTCTGAAATGCCATCCCCCCGAGCACTGGCCCTTGCCCACGCAGGTGCCAGGAGGGCAATTTTCATCTGAAGAACAGATGGCAGAAGTGACGCTGCTCTCGCCACAGGGCTCCCGAAGAGCACCACCTCCGTGGGACCATTTGCCACGTGAGTGCTTCCATGCCGTGGCAACTTGCCGTGTTATCTCAATAAGAAGCGGGGAGAACCAAGCTATGGGGGGAGCAGAGGGGAAAGAAGCTGCTGAGACCCAGAGCCTTTCAGGGAATCAGCAAACTGGGCCAGCACTGCCTTTGTCTGTCTGGCTGGCTGGCTGGCTGGCTGGCTGGCTTTTACAGACTGTTCATCTAGTGGAATCTTGCAATGGTTTGCAACAAAGCCACAGATATACTTGGCAATCCACCCACCCTGCCCCCTGCCCTCCCAGTTGGCCTTGCCCCACAGCAAAAGAACAGGCAGCCTTACCTCGCCAGAAATGCTACAGGAGCTCTGACAGCCCGGGGGCCACGCTGCCCATGACCCCCGTCGTCTGCGACCAGCCCAGCCAGCGGGGACGGGCACAGACTGCTCTGGGACCCCTGCCTGCGCCACCTCTGCCGCACGGACTCTTGGCTCAGTCTGAAGGGCAGGACCATCTGAGGGAGCCATCGACGCAGGCAGGGGCGCAGCGGGCCTCCCCCGAAGCACCGGTGGGGAAAGCACTGGGACGTGTCCCTGCTGAGCCCCAGCAACCCGCGACTCCAGCGATGCACCCACTGCGGCACCCTTGCCTCCTTGCCAGGACTGAAGCCCCAGGGTAGAGGGCACGGGGGGCTGGGGCCCTGCGGCTCCTGCCGTGGTGGGAGGCCGCCCGGCAAAGCACGCGAGCCCTCGAGGGCGGCCGCTCCCTGCAGCACTGAAAGCACTGCGACACTCACACGGACACAGAGCAGCGAGCCCAAAGCGCAGAGCCAAGGGGCTCCGGTTCGCCCAGGTGCCAAAGGAAGCCAGGCCTTTCCCACGGACCTTTCAGCCGCTCCTCTGCACCAGCCCTGTTTTAAGTCCAGGCTGGCTGCGCAGGCTCACCTTTTGCTGACACAAAAGGACGTTTGGCACTCAGGTGCACAGAGGCAGCCAGGTAGCAGCTAAGAAGGGATCAAGTGTACCAGGGGGAGGTCACGGCTGCACTGGCCAGGTGAGAACACCTCCCCACCTTCCAGGGAGACCTGGAATAGAGCTGATCGGGGATAATGAGAATCCCACTGTGCATGCTGCGCCATCCCGTCCAGCGTGCCCCGGCCCCCCTCCCCTGCAAGACCTGCAGCCGCCTTTCTGCCTCGGGAGGGCCCGGCCGATCGGCTCTCCAAGCGTGGCGTGAACGTGTCGCCAACACTGCAGGGAGCCGGGGCTTAAGCCGCTGCCCTAGCGGAGTATGGGGAGGATACTTGCCCTGCTTGGAGTCCCGACCCCCGTGCCTTGGGACAGCTGGCGCTGCGGGGAAGTCCGCAGTCCCCGTGCCCTGCCAGCCACCCTCGTGGGCCATGTGGAGCAGAGACCCCCTGCGGGCCCCGGCAGGCTCTCGGGCTGTGGGAAGGGATGGGAAGGCCTTCGAAGTGGCCTCCCTCCCTCTGGCTGGGGGGCATGAAAGGAGGGGCCCTGGAAGCGGCTTTCCTTCCAAGGGTGAGGGCAAAGGAGGGCTGGGCATTAATGGGCTGCTCTGGGAACAGAGCATGTCATTAAGTGCCGGCTCGTAGCCCCAAATCCCCCTGGAAGCAGGGCTAATAAGCGCAGCACGTTGGGCGCCTGCCAAACCAGGAGCAGGAATAACTCCCCGGAGCCCAAAGGCCGGAGGGGCCTTCACGGGTCGGGCTAATGCGGAGCACATGAGCACAAACAAAGAAGCCTGTGAGTGCGCGCATGGGGGGGGGCGGCGTGAAAGTGGGGGCTCGGGGCAAGCGGGCATGTGGGGGAGGGAGCTCCAGCGTGTCCAGGGAGAGCGGCATCCTGCCCTACAGCAAGCCCCACGCACCCAGAGGCAAGCGAGACCACTGGGGCGGGCAGAAGCACCCAGCCACCCTCTGCGGTCCCTGGGAGGAGCAGGCGGCCAAGGAGCATTTGCCACAGACAAAACCCTCTTGCCGCAAAACCTCTGCTGGGCCTCTGAAGTGGTGCCAGCCTGAGCCAAAGGCGGACGTGCCACGGAGGGGCTCCCCACCGGGGTGGGGGGGCGGCTGGCAAGTGTTCATCGGGCAGCACCCGCAGTGACAGGCTCCCCACCTCAGGATTTCACACGAATGCACCAAAAGTTTATGGGGATCACGGGGAAGATTGTGCAGATTATGGGGGGTGACACGGAGATAAAATAAAAGCTGTGGTTGCTGAGTCAGCTGTTGTGGCAATTTAACTGAGTGGCCCATTTCTGAAGACAGAAAATGCGCCAGTCTGTCTGAGGCTGCGTTCATACAACAGGATAACTCGCACTCAAGGGCTGTTGTTGAACTGTGGGTTGTCACTGGGACATGGCTCTCAGGTAGTCTGAACCCAGCTCTGCTAGCAAACCACGGGTCATTAACCACAAACACCCCAGGAAGAGAACCCATGTTTGCTGCTGTGTTGTGAACCATGGGTTGTTCCCCAGGCTTTCTTGTCTGGGTTCAAGCAACACACTATCCCTGGGTTCAACAGCAACATGTAGTTCTATGACAGCACCTCAGCGGGGGTTATGCTGTTGTTTGCGCCCAGTCACTGTTGCTACAAGGGCCAGGGAGGAGAGGCACGTATGCAGAGACGTGTGTGGT